TATACATGTTTTGATGAAAGGTATTGAATAGAAAACCTGTTATTTTTAATTTTTTCAATAATAATTGTATTTGATCTGAACAAAAACAGATGTTATATATTTCTGAGGTATTTTATTGCCTCGTTTCTAATTTTCTAATCGTCTGTATTGAATAAAAAGGTGACATACAAAGGCACACACATCTTAGAAAGGATCGCCTCAAAAGGATAACTATCCACTAAATTTTTTCAGATCACAGCTGATCTGAAACCCTCAGGATATCTTGGGGGATTACTGATATCTTAATATCGGTTACCACCAAGAAGGAACCTTATCCTGACCGCAATTAGATTTTTTTATGTTGGTTTAAGAAATTTGCATTATTTTCAAAATTGACACATAACATCACAGCTTACGCCATTAAGTTATGCCTCTTATGGTATGCTTAGTCCATTGGACTGGATCTGAGCTTTACAAATTTGGTATACAGGCTGGGTATGGGCCGACTTCGGTGATATATCCCGATTAAATGCTCCCATGGTAGAAATACACGGGCAAAGTCGTGCGTGAAGGCTAATTTATTATTATCCATTTAATCAACAGAATCAGTTTTTGATCTAAAAGCCGACCGAAAAACTAGTACGTCTACGTCATTATGATTATGGTAATTATTAGTATCAATATCGAGGAAAGTTAGGTCATGGAATCTTTTCCTGGAGTATAGGAGAAATGGAACAGCTGTTTGTCTCTACACTTGAAAGACTATTAATAAGTTTACTGTCTAAGAATCTAGCTAGATCGTTTATGACCCAAACACATTGACGTAAATGGTGATTGACATGATCAATCACCATTTACAACATGTTTTACACAGTCAGTTAATCTCAAATATAAGTACCTAACTGATGTGTTAGTTCATAAGTTAAATTAATGTTACTGATTGTATAGTTTTTAACAATTCCATCTAAACGACTAATGCTTCTGGTTAACAAAGGACAGCAACCACAGATTTTTGTGACAAATTTTAATTGTACGACAAATTATTGATCCAATAGAGATCCGATATAGATAAAAATGTAGTCAAAAGTCTTGCTATAGGAGCTGAGGGTCCCCCCCCCCCTCCGGTGCGGTGCAACCTTTTGAGGACTGCACTATAGATTGAACGTATTGACGGACGCCATGATTTGTTAAGAGAGTTCAATTGTATAGAATATTATTTTAATAGTATTCCAGACATCTCACGTTTCCACACTTCCAAGGTCATGTCGTAGACGCTCGGTGGTGGCCGCCTTGTTCTTAATTAGGACTTTGTCTAGGTGATAAAGCGTAAAGAAGCAGGGTACTATGGCAAGCGAGACACGCCAAAAAACTCGCCCTCATTAAGGAACTACTAGTAGGCACGTTCTGTGTGCTTGATTGAAATAATCCAGGACCTAAGAAATCAAAAAGCTTGGAGAGAACTCCCCCGCTGGGTTTAAAACATTTCCATATGTGGAAAAAACGCGTCGCCAAACAGGGCTTGTCCGTAGTTTTGATATAAAGGCACGTAAATGTCACTACATGTACTCGGTATGACGCAAATAAGTTGATCAGTGGAACTTCGCATATGGAGACCATTTGGTTTGTGCATTCTGCTGACAGCTGGTGCTCTCTAAAGTTTCACAAACCTCAACAGATGATCTGCCTTGACATTGTACATTATATATCTGGTACATGAAATACGTGTATGTTAACGCATATGAACGTATAATGGGAAACGGAGGTTTAAATCCAGGAGTGGAGCCACTTGGTGCCCCCCCCCCTTTTGTAACGGATATATGCGATAGACTTGATGTCGTCCTATATCAAACCAGTCTATTTCAGGATTGGCTACTATGACGATCTTTCTCGTGCTCTGACCAGAGACCCAGGAGAAAGAGATTGCCCAGGTAAGCTCCCTTAGCAATATCTGACACATTGTGCAAGCTGCTGGGAATGAGAAGGTAGAAGTAGCATGTGTAGGACCGACAGAAGATGATAATTCTGGCTCCTCCCACACAAGATTGTTCACATGAGGTAAAATGAAGACCCATCTGCGATCGCCCTTTAAGATTTTATTCTTGTAGGTTCAGAAACGCTTGAAAGTAGAGTCTTTTTCTTGACTAGAGTCTTGAAACTGCAGAAGCAGCAAATATAACTAGGCTCTGGAGTTCTGTGCGTGACTTGCATTTCTTCCGCATTAAATGGCAAAATGACCCCAGAAATTTTACTACCGGGAAAATGTTTGTGATTTGACCATGGATCCCTGGCTTAATGACTTTTGTGTAAATAGCCAAACCAACTTTTCTAGAACATGGAGCCCAATTTTCATACGAAGTCCGAAGTTGGCCTTCGTCCTGATGGCAATAAAAAATCCCGACACCTCATTGTCCCAGTGTCTGGGAAAATCGTAGCAAAAGTATTGGGCGCTGCGCTCATGCCTAATGATAAGCAAGTCATTCGTAGCAATTCGTTGCGATAATTTAGGCACATAAACCTTCCGTGGCTACGGGCCACAGAAAAATAACTCTACGCCTGAGAAATGTCGATTTTGCATAGACAATCAGGTTGTAGAAAATGTGAAATACTATGTGTTTTAACACGTATGTGCATTAACGAATCGGTCAGATGATACATAAATTCTGAATTTCCAAATGGACGATGCGGTCGCCCTTGGACCAGAAATATCAATGGTAGGAAGCTTGGCTGCTCAGTAGCTCGGTCCGTAACTACCTGTTCTGTTATTTTGTTCATGACTGATGTCATTTCTGAACATAGTGTCAGAGATTCTAGAACAGATGTTTTATGAACAGATGTTCCAGTTCAACAAGTTCGTTCCGACAACATTGGGGTGAACCAGGGTCAGTTTTTGTAAAAATGGTATGCGATACCTTTTTATTATCATAATCTGACGTTCACAAGTTCCCATCGGTCTACCAATTGCAGGAGACTGTCCGCTCTGTTGTTAATACTTACGTCGTTTGTTGTCAATGCTGCAGCATCAATGACGGGGCGATGATACACGTCTTCGCTCCTGACTTGGCTAATTTTATTCTGCCGAGGATTTGACCAACTCCGACAGATATTCCAATTTTTCGGTGCGACCGAAATATATAAAAACAGCATGAAAATGATATAACCACCTTGCGGAGGCGGGTTTATTGCTGTTGTCACCACCTTGCGGAGGCGGGTTTATTGCTGTTGTCACCACCTTGCGACGACGGGTTTATTCCTGTTGTCACCACCTTGCAGAGGCGGGTTTATTGCCGTTGTCACCACCTTGCGACGACGGGTTTATTGCTGTTGTCACCACCTTGCAGAGGCGGGTTTATTGCTGTTGTCACCACCTTGCGAAGGTGAGATACTGCTAGCACATTGCGAATGTGTATTAATGTGTTGGAAACCTTGAGCAAAAAATCCTGCGAGGACTTTGTAAGGCTGTGGCCCCTGCGACGGGCCTCGAAACTTTTGGATCTACCTGCGAGGTAGATGTAATATTTACCTTTTGCAATGGCCAAAAACATTTTCTTACGCCACCAGCTTATTCTACAGCGGCAGTAAACCTCTATGCGCTCTCAGTATTAGGAGAATCTCAGAATGATGTCCGCAAACAATCTGTAATAAAGCTTAAGACTAGGTACTTACTAAAATCCCCTGTGGAAAAAGGGTACTTCTGAAGTAGCATATCACATGTAGCAGTTAGCAGTTTGAAGGGTTCCGAAAATCCCTTGTTAAAGTGCACACAATATTCAATCAAGTATACCATTAACTTTAAACTCAAACTTAATATCAAAGCAACAAAATATATAATAGGAACGCACTTCGGTTCTATATTTGCATAGTCATCTCACTTTTGCAAGATAATTAGGTACAACAGACAAATAACTGTGCAATATTATTAACAGTCGAACAGAACCTTCGTTCTTTGTTCGTATAGTGGTACAAATCCACCCGATTTTCTGAGCAATAGCTATAGCATAGGGTATCGCGTCAGCAATTCCACGTATGCAATATACAGTCCAAGACTGTACCGAATTAACCAACAGTTCTGTTGGGAGCACAGCTCTTGAGTTTTATCCGAAGACACACTTTGATAGACATACAATTTCAAAACAATTTATCAGGTCATCAACATCAAAATAATATTCTTATAAATTTTCAATAACATTAGACAGAAATGCATGGTCCAAAATGGTACTCACGTACAAACAATCTATTGCTAAAGGTTACGTACCTGTTTAGATAGTTTTCGAAACTTACGTTTAGATCGACACTTCCATACGAAGAAGTGTTCAGGAACAACATGAATAATCGCAATTATTACCTGAATTTTCCATAATAGATAACGAAAGAATAATCTTTATTTAATTTAAAATTTTTACAATTGTAATAAAAGCCGTTAGGACATTTATCACTTTTATAAAAAATAAATATTAATAAAATCGGAAGGTAGTTTCACAACTTGTGAATGGTTGTCTTGTGACTCACAAGGCACAACCGTTTACGGCGGGAAACAAGACGCCAATGAAATAAAAATGGCGAGTCTCTCTTAGCAAGCCTCCCCACCACTGCCAAATGGAAGTGACGTAGTAGAAAGAGATAGACATATAGGAAAAGCGGAAGGAGGGAAGCGGAAGGCCTATCTCAATTAAATAAGCTTCGAATAACGGTCAAGTCAAATTAATACATTGCACTATGACATTACCAATTGCAATAATATTATGGTGTGGTTTTATGTTTTCCCTCATACCTAATACAATAAAATTATTACATAATTGTGTACGAATTATGCTGTTTCATTTAAGATTTTAAGTAATTACTACGTAATTGGTACATCGTACTAGGTGTCGTCAGGGAAAAATCGATCTTGAGTCTGAACAAGTTGGCCATCCCTGTAATATTTGAACGGCCCATAACCGATTGTGCCGGATACTTCACCGTTTTTCTGTGTTTACACACATTGATTTTAAAGTCGGTTTTATTGTTTTATTTTTTCAGTACGCAATGTGATTTATGCAAGAAAACGTCGCAAGTTCTATACCACTTAACGATGTCTGATGCCTCATTAAGGAATTTCTGTTCGTACCAGTGCGTCTTGAAATTTCAGGTTAGTCCTATTGAAGTTTATGGCTTATATCGGCTGTGTAACGCCAAGACATACATACAATGGCCAACATCATGGTTATCCTATCCTTTTTTGTCAAATTTCTATATTATATCTTCAACTTTATTGGATTGACACAAAGTCGAAAGTCCAATGATTAAATTTGACAGATTATAGTAGTTTGATCTGTCGGCAATTGTGCATTATAACTTTATAACATTGAACTTTTCACATTCTACCGATGATGCGTTAGTTAGTGTGTGGGGACATACATACATGTCATACATACACCTGGGTCCGGTTTTGCCGAAAGTGACGTAATACTGGACAGCAAAATAGCAGACATCATTTTAAATCACCAGAAATACAGATAAAAATGGTCAATAAACATAAAATTGAAATCTTAATTTCTCGACCAGGAAGTTGTAGAATCTATAGTATAGATATTTCTGCTTCCATTACATTAACTATAATGATACTTACACACTCAATAAATTATTCATAGTGGCAACAAACCTATGTATTTATCATGTGATTTCATATTGTTTTAGGGTAATTACTCAAAGCATACACCTCCGTTAATACCAGGCGAGGCCATCGACGAACAGAAAGCGGTGCCCACGGGATCTCCCAGGCGGATGTACCCAGCTGCTAAAAAAAGTAAGTTTTATATTATGTGTAAGTTTGTTTTATAATCGGTGTTATAACGAGATTCAATCACAGTGTGGGTGGTTAACGCTATATCGGGGCGACTGACTGGGTGTTGATTTCCGTACGAAACAATGTTTGTGACTACAGAGGGCTTTGTAACCGGCCTGTCTGGAAGTTATTGGGGGAGGCCTATATTCAGCAATGAAATGATGATGAGAGGGCTAAAGGCAGAGAGATTTGCACACAGCAGGCGCGGCTGGACGGGAAGGGACGGCTCCGCGACACTGAGCAGTTGTAATGTACTAGATATTACGGACGACGCCACACAGAGCCGTCGGTTGCCGTCGCGTCGAGCGGGACGGCTCTGTCATTACAACTGCTCAGTGTCTCGTCGCCGTCCCGTCCCGCAGCGCCGCGCCCGCTATCCGCAGAACCTTTAGTACGAGTTTCTTTCGAGATCGCGTTCGGCGCTCTTATTGATTGATTCATTGGAGCCGGCCAATCAGAGCGTTGAACGCAGTAACGTTTCGATCTCGTTCAACATAAAACAAACTCGTACTTAGCTCTCAAAGGTGGCAAACGAGTTTACAATCCGCCTAGTAGAAAATAGTTACTAAAACATAGTTTGTAAACGTATGCAATACCTGTGGCGTCGCTCATGCGTTGCTAACCCTGCGAAAATATCTATTTTTTAACAGTTCTCTCTTGTTCATAGCGCTCCAAGTCCAGCAGCGTCCAACCCAATCCTTAACACGAAACGTCCAATCCTTAGCAGCTCCATCTCTGCTCAAGCCGGCCATTATAGAACAGAATTCTAAATGTGTACAATATCCCGTACCAGAACCCGAGCCCCCCGTGTCACCCGAAATACCTCCATCCACAAAAACCTCTACACCACCATCATCACCTCCATCCACAAAAACCTCTACCCCAGTAACGCCAACACCACCCCCCGCACCACGACCCCGCAAATTTAAAATAATAAAAATCATACCTTCATCAGTATCAGTAATAACCAATAAGGTAACTAAACCTGTAATGGAGTCTAAAAGCGTGTCATGTGGACCTGAAATGTGCACCAAGGAGTGTCAGACAGACCCTAGTTTAGAACGACGTGTACTTATTCCTGTACCCGTCCCTATCTACGTCCCTGTACCTTGTGCTATGTGGTCCCTTCCCTTCCCAGTTCCAGTCCCTATTCCCATACCTATCCCAACACCAGTCTTTATTCCTACAACTAGAAATTCAGCTAAAGGTATCAAGAAGGAGATAGAAAAGATCCAGGACAAGAAGCCGCCGAATCCATTCGAAGCAGAACTGCTAACGATGGCGGAAATGGTGGCCTGTGACATGAAAAATGAACAAAGTGACTCTGATTCTGACGAGGAGAATGGTACGTTATAACAACATTGTATATTTTAAGTAATTAATAAATTTTGTAACCTACTTTTGTTTTACAGAATTAAAGTTCAAAGTCAAAGTCCAAATCATTTATTTCAATTAGACCAGAGGCCTTAGTACGAGTTTGTTTTGCGTTCGGCGCTCTGATTGGTTGGCTTATTGGCGCCGGCCAATCAGAGTGCCGAACGCGAACTCGTTTCGAATACTTTAAACGTAAAACAAACTCGTACTAAGGCCTCAGGAAGGCACTTTTGAACGTCAATAACAAAAATTTAAAAATAAAGCTATTTGCTCATTCCTATGGAGAAGAACGAGCAAGAAACTCCATAGGTTACTCTTTTCCAATCAGGTTCACAATACAATTCCCCAGTTACACAGTTTTATTGGTTCGATTGTGCGAGAACAATGTAACACCAAAATCCAGTCAGAGATCGAAAAAGAAAATAACCTTAAAGACAATAAATAATGCAGTCTGCCGTTGCCTGTCCATATGTAGGCTTCGATATATAAAAATGTGCAACAGATTTACGTATGCATTTTTTTTAAACATAAAGTAATAGTATGTATAATACGTACTAATTAGGTATTAATTTAACGCGTGCGAGGTAGTACTTCAGAAGAATTTAGACACACAATTTCGGAATTACAAGTCGCTCAAATAATTTTCTTTAAATATAGATAACGTTTTTATGGATTCACATTGGCATTGATTGATTCGATTGGCGTGTCTTCAAATAATTAGTTTACGTGTTTTAAAGTAAACAAAAGGCTTCCGAAGGTTGATTGATAGTAAATGAAGCATTATGGGGCAACAGACAAACTTAGGATATAGTTTAAGTAGCCAGGACTAAGTTAGGATCACGATTGTCGTTTTATAAGATTACCAATTGAACACATTTGCATTTGCAGCGGCTACCTTGAATCCTGTGGCGAATATGGGCGATAACAATGCCTTTGGCGAAGACATGCTGCAGATGGCGTTCAAAATGGCGACGAACTACGAAGACAAAGGTGTAGACCTTGAATCTGAGATGTTAACAAATACAATCACACTAGACCTGCGCGCGTCGGCGGCGCCTCGCAAGCGCGCCCCCGGGGCCCCGAACGCGGCGCGCCCCGCTCGCACGTCCAAACGGCGCCGCGCCGAGCCGCCGCCCGCGCCGCTGCCCGACCCGCCGCGGGAGCCGGCCGAGAAACCCGACGCCAACATGTGCCTCAAGGTGACTCGAGGGTCCGACGTGACCGCTGTATAATACCATTTGGGTCTGCGGCGACTCATTGTGTCTTATTGCTCCAGTACACGTTCGGCGTCAACGCGTGGAAGCAGTGGGTGATGACGAAGAACGCGGAGATCGAGAAGAGCTCGATACGACGGAAGCCGTTCAAGTCCGAGATATTGCAGCTCACGGCGGATGAACTCAACTACTCGCTGTGTCTGTTTGTGAAGGAAGTGCGGAAACCAAACGGCAGCGAATACGCCCCCGACACTATTTATTATTTAGTTTTAGGTGAGTTACTATTACTGTTTCTGGTTAACGACAGACAAACCTAGATTACATTTTCAGATCGAAAAACACACATAAAATCCAATAATTAGTTGAACGATTTCAATATTTTCGATTCGAATTCGATCGCTTACAAATGTTTAAGCATACCTATTTATATGTTAATTATTTTAATTCTTATGGTGTTGATAATACCAGTACGTGAATCTTTAATATTACATTTTCAGGTATACAACAATATTTGTTTGAAAACGGTAGGATAGACAATATATTTTCGGATCCATATTACGAAGAATTCACCGATTGCCTGGACGAAGTTGCGAGGCGGTTCTCAATTTTATACGATGTCTCACGTAAGTATTATTGACAAGGGTACTCAAATATTTTCAAGCCATATACGGGGCCCAAAATCATGGGCAACATGGCGACAGCGAAAGATTCTGAAACTGAGTCTTAACTAGTCGGTAACCTTGAAACAGTTTCGTGTATAAACTACGCAGGTTGTTAACCGCGTAGTGTGTTGGGGAACATACATATTAGGGCTCGTACACAAAACTGAATCAGAATCAGAATCAGAATAACATTTATTTGCCTACTTTGTGTCTTACAAAATGTCTCTGTGGCCGGTGGGCCATACAGGGGTGAGTCAGCTAACTTATGTCCTAATGGATCTGTGTTTGCTTTGTTCTATTAATTCGTAATATGCGACGCTAAGTAGACATATTACGTGTTTTATTTACGCTGTGTAGTATATTAAATATGTATATTATAGGAACATAATATTTCTTGCTATAATTATTTTATTTTAAGGGGACGCGGGGCTTTTGTTTTGTCTGTAGGCCAACGCTTGTAACCTTTTTTATAAGAGTCGAACAGTATTTCTCCGATTCTGTGATTAACCCTGAGAGGGTTAAAATCCCCATGAGCATGATAGGCATCTTCAGTGGATTCAAGATCTTCTATTTCTAATTTTGAAATATTTTCCAACATTTTGGAGTTAAGGTCCTGGGCGCGTAGGTGCCAAGCTTCTATGTCAGCCATCTCCCAGATCAGTTCCGTAGGTGTTCGTCTTGGAAGTTGTGCGGCATTTTTCAGTGCCATTCTGTATTGACGTTCGATTTTGGTGAGGTTGGATTCGCTGTATCTTGAGAGTAGTTGTACAACTCCGTAGTCCATAAGTGGTAGAAGGCAAGCCTGAATGATTGTCAGTTTTGTTTCCAGTTTTGTCTTCGCATTATATCCTATAATTGGACCGAGGGCTCCTCTGACTTGTTTTAATCTGGTAACAACCTTTTCAGTGTGCTGATTCATCTTCATGTGTTTGTCAAAGATGACACCGAGATATTTGATCTGCTTTTGGTAGTGTAATATCTGTTGTTTCAGTTTCACCGTTGGTCTATATTTTTTCTTCTTTGAGAACATGATGCATTCTGTTTTTTCAATATTACACTTTAACCCCCATCTCGTATAATAGTCAACGATGGCCTCAGCTGCCCATTCGGCACGGATTGTCGCGTGTTCTGGGTTCGGGGCTCTGTTAAGTATACAGAGATCATCAGCATACTGTGAGAGCTTGAGGCCTTTGATGTGATCTTGTATATTCCAAACATCATGAACGTACAGATTGAAGATTATCGGGCCGAGTATTGAGCCTTGGGGCACCCCGTGGGGAACCGGTTTATCTTTGGTCGTCGTAGTTCTGAATCTACCTCTCAAGTTTCTACCTTCGAGATAGTTTTCAATTATTTTAATGATATTGTTAGGAACGTCTTGACTCTGAAGTTTTTTGATCAGGCCCTTGTGGTTTATAGAGTCGAAGGCTTTCGATAGGTCCGTGGATATCATAGAGACACTGTCTCCTGTGGCCAGTGCGTCGGTGATTATTTTGCCTGTCCGTAGAATTTGGGTTGCTGTACCTCTTGCTCTTGTGAAGCCGTGCTGGAACGTTGGTTGCAGCTGGTTGACCGTTGCCGTAAGTCTGCTCTGGATCAGTCGCTCGCACAGCTTGCCCATGATATTTAGCAATGTGATTGGGCGGTAAGATGACGCCTGGCGGTGATCTTTCCCAGCCTTGTGGATGAATATGCACACACCAATTTTCTTTCCATCCATGCACACACAAAACTGAAATGCGACGTCGCATCGCAAAAATGTAGGAGCTTCCTCTACGCATCACAAGAACTTGCGAATTGATACGCATCGAGCATCAAAATCTTATATTCTCAAAATCTTCTGTTTCTTTTTCCTGTATCTCCTAAGCAATAACAGAAGTGCACACCTCTCTTTATGATCCATGTCATGACCTAGATTTCAATTTTAAAAAAATACGTTTAGTACGGTTGACAGTCGTCGAAGGAATGGTCACCCTGGAAGACGCCTTGTCGCACGAAATCGCATCGCAGCAATTCGCCTCGTAATTTTTTGCGTTGCGAATTTGCATTGCATCGCATTGCAGTTGTACGAGCCCTTAGTACCACTTCACTTTGCACGAAGTCATTGTGCGCCCGTCTGGCACTTATCTACTGCATCGAAGGCATTCAACTCCCTACAGCCAAAAGTTCTCTTCTAGAACGATATGTAGGAAATATATTGGCATTATCACCTCATAATTTTTAATGTCAAATAGCCGTTGCTTGTGTATTATCATGCTGACAACTTTGATGTAATTGCAGAGTACGTAGTCACCCGAGTGGAAGAGGAGCATTTATGGGAGAGTAAACAACTGGGCGCCCACTCCCCGCACGTCCTGCTCTCCACGCTCATGTTTTACAACACAAAATATTTCAATTTGGTGGTATGTTTCATATACATTATTGTACAAAGACATTCTCACTCACAGCATTCGATTATGTTACATTATCGATTTCACGTTGTTAGAAATATGTGTAACTATGAAGCCCTCGATATTACGAATTGATCTGAATAGATACTTAGTTTTACAGTAAAATCAAAACTAGATTTCAATTT